CCGTTCTCCGGGCTGCAGGGCCCGGCACGCACCGGATTCCCTCTTGGTGAGCCTGGCCGGGAGCCTGGGGACAGCTGGGACTCTCCGCTTGGCGTTCTGCTCGTTCCAGTACTCCCGCCAGTGTCGCAGCTGCGAGTGGATGAAGCGCCACATGAGCCAGGCCTGGGCGGCACACAGCAGCAGCAGCACGAGCAGCCTGAGGGGGCAGAGCGGGCGCAGCTCAGGCAGGGCAGGGACCTGCGGCCCGCAGCCGCCCTGCCGGAAGAGCGGAGCCTCGGCAGTCGGCCTGGGCCCCGGCCGGCACCGCGGCAGTGCGAAGGGACTCTCCGGGCAGAGCGAGGAAGCAGTGACGGGGGCCTCTAGCCCCATGACTCCCACCACCGGGGGTCCCCAGCCTCGCCGCTTTAGTATCCACAGCGCCATGCGCAAGACTGATGCAAATGCCACAAATACCGGTGGGCGTCAAGTGCACTGAACTACGACGTGGCGCAAGTAATTCTGCAAAAGTCGCTTCTTCCGTCTGGCATGTCACGCGAAGCTAGAGCAAGTGTGGATGAGCCCACCCCTCCGGGGGCCATGGGCTCGTGGCTGCCATCCCTGCTGGCAGGAAAGGCCACTGGCCAAGCCACGGACACCGTGGGGTTCTTTTCCTCACCATTTTGGGTTCCTTGGATGCTGGCTACACGTATTAACAGGTTTCACTTGGGCAATAAACAGCCTACGCATGGCTGTAATGACTGGCTGACAGACTGGGTGCGAAAACTCTCTTAACCCACTAGGTAAAGGAAAGGGAATCTGCATCTGACTAAGACCCTGACTGCACCTGAGCAGACCACAGCCAGGGCGGGGCCAGAGTTCTGAAGAAGGCAAAAGGCTTCCTCCTCCCTCAGGCCCGAGTCTGGAGACTGCCAGCTAAATGTCAGCGTGTGGAAGACTCGGCTCCCAGCCCCCGACCGCCTGTGGAAGCCGAGTCAAGGTCAGGAGGCTCCCGGCAGGGCTCGGGGACGCCCGGCGCAACTCACCTGCAGAGCAAGGTGTTGAAGTTCCCTTTCTCGGGGTCGAAGGCCTGGTTTTCCACGCGGGCCAGTCCAAAGCCGATGGCCAGCACAGCCAGGGTGAGGGTGCAGAGGCGCGTGACCCCAAACACGGCAGCCCAGGCGTTAAACCTGCTCACAGAGGCAGGGAGGTGATGTCTGCCTCTGGGACCCTTGAAGCAACCCTCACCCACGTACGCAGAGGCCACCCTGAGAGGGAAAAGGCCTCAAGGGGGGGCCTGAGCAGCGTTCCAAATACCCAGAGGAAGATGCTCCGGGCAAAGAGCAACCTGGGCTGAAGCTCACACCGGGCAGCAGCCCTGCAGCCTCACTTACAGCTTCTCGTTGTTCTCGTCCGCGAAGTAGAAGAGGCGCGCCGTGTAGAAGAGGAACTCGGTGGAGTACTGCAGCAGCAGCAAGACGAGGCCCAGGCGGCTGAGGCTGCAGCGGGAAAGACAGGGTGGAAGCCGTCACCCCTTCCAGGCGCGCTGCCCCCGGGGCCTGGACTCGCTTCCTCACTGGCCCTGCCCCGTCCTCTAGGTTCAGTTTAGCCGTTGCGCCTTTAGGAATTCTCCCTGAGGAAGACTGCCCCCGGCCTGCGGCTCGTCCTGTCCGGAGCGGTTTCCGTGGACCCACTCTGCACGGACCACGCCAGCCCAAAGCACAGCGAGGTGGGCCACGCCGCCTGTGCCCCCCAAGGCTCCCCAGGGACTGGCGTGACTTTAGGCTCCAGATGGGGGCTACGGCAGGCGCTGGTAACCCGCGTCCGTCATTGTCACAGACGCCTGCTGTGAGGGGCCTGGAGACGGGGCCAGGGAGCGCCGGCCCTTAGCAAAAGTTACACAGCAAGCGCCCAAGTCCCAGTCCACAGGAAGGGCCAACCAGCGGTCTCCTATGCCGCGGGGGTAAAGATCCAGACAAGTGCAATTTGGCCATGGTGCGGCCTACTCATCAGTGCGATTCTTCTCATAACATCAAGGTCTCACATCACAGCAACGCTTCCACGTCTAGAACCACCACACGGGGACTGGTCTCCATTTCATTACAAACAAAGCAAAGACAAGCCCAGGGCTACAGACTCCAGGGGCATCGGCACCCTGTGAAGCAGGGGCTCAGCGTCAGCTGCCTTCAAGCTTCAAAGGTACGGTTCAAGGCCAAGAGCCGTCAGAACCTCCCCGGGCTCCCCATGGCCCGTGACACAGGCCTCATCACAGCGCTGCTCGCGGTGAACTGTCCCGCCCTGGGCTGCCCGTCCCACCAGGTGGGGACAAACCCTGCAAACGAAGGACTGGCTGTCCTCTGCACTCCCGCATCTTAGCATGGCACTCGGCACGCAGACGGCGCCCAGTAAATGCTGCCGACAGCGGGACTGTACGGACAGACGCAGGGCACGGCGGGGCAGGGAGACCTGGCTGCTCGAGGCCTCACTTACTTCAAGAGGTACGCTCCCGCTATGTGGGCCAGGTACAGGCAAATGTACTGGAGCTGGCGGGGAATCTCCTCCTACAAACAAGAGACGCAGACGGTGACTACCTGGGCCCTGTCGAGGAGCAGGGCATGCAGCAGGTGAGGAAGGCCAGGCCCCCACCACCCTAGGCCTAGAGAGCTTTGGCACCCAGCGCCACGTCACTCCAGAGCCCCTCGCATGGGGCTGCTGAGAAGTCCAGGCAGGGACACAGCTTTGGGCCCAGGGGCAAGGGCAATGTCTGAGTTGAGAAAGAAGAGATGGGGACTGGGGAAGAGGGTTTGGGGGAATAATTCAGAAAGAAACTATTAAAAAAAACAGTTTTGGTTTCCCTAAAGCCGCAGCCTAGTGGAAGATGCAGGCTGGGGCTGGCACTGGTTTCTGCTCTCCTGCGGGCCTGCATGGCACTGTTACAGGACTGGCCCAGGGTTTTCCCCAGGCCCAGCACACCCCATTCCCGGCCACCCGCCTGCTTCCGGAGGAAGGGACGGGGTGCCACGGGAGTGGCGGGAGGGCCGTGGAGAAGGGACCTGCAGGAAGGGTGGGCGGAGTACTCACCTTCCGTACCTTCTGGAAGTAAAGCTCAGGAAGTGCATGCAGCCAGTAGGCCAGCTGGCACAGGTAGAAAAACTTCACCTGGAAGCTGGACACAGAAAGTGAATCACATGGGTGGGACCCGGTTAAATGCCCCAGGAGGGTCTACCGAGTGCACAGAGAAAGGATGGCCAAGGCTATGTGGGCACCCAGCACCGTACACAGGGACAGGGAAAGGCCAAGGAAAAACACAGGCGTGATCACGAGCCTGTGGGGTGAGGGGCTCCTCTGCCTAGACAAGGAAAGCTGACCACACAATACTGGGGACGCGCACAGAGCCTCCCACCCCGATACACCGAACCACCGAGGCCCGGGGTAGCACTGGGAGACTGAGCCCCACTCTGTCCTTCGCGGCTATTGCTCAGAAAGGCATTAGGAGAGACAAGGCACAGCCTCCTGAGCCAGTCAGGCCAGGTCCTGGCATAGCCGAGAGGCAGGGGACGCTGGCTCTGGGGAGCAAAGGCTGCTGTGGATGTGAGGGGTCAGCGAGGGGACACAAAGCCAAAGGCCTGGACGGAGGGTTCTGCTTTGCATCTGTCCCACGAGCGTGAGGCTCTGTGCGGGGCACAGTGCGGGTGAACCCCATCGCGAGCTGTCCTGTCACGCACACGGGCAGGTCTGCTGTCCTCACGCCACGCCCGACAGGCCCAGGACACAACCCAGTCCCCGCACCGCTGGCCACACAGACAGAAGCCAAGCACAGCTCACTCCTCCCTGCGGACCGAGGCTCACAAGTACTCACGAGAGGTACACATGCGGGTAGTCTTCCCAGAGGCTTCTTGGGTTGGTTAGGTACCCTTCCTGTGGTGGGAGAAAGAGGGCATTTACAGATGTGGACATGTGACCGGTCCCAGGGTCCTCGATGCACCCAGCCGCCACCTGCTAGAAAGAGGGAGGGACAGAGACGTGCCGAGGAGAGTGCTGTCTGGAGGGGCAGTCAGGATGCAGTAGGGAGCGTCACCCTCTAGGGCCTGAAGCCTGTGTCTCCACTCAGGTCTGACGTCTGCCAGCTGCAAATGCTGAGCAAGCCCACAAGCGACCCTAAGCTCCCACTGGCCTATTTAAAACGAGGATAAAAATACCACCCTCAGTTATTGTTGGAAATGTGACAGTTCTTGTGGCCGTGTCTAGTACTATGCCTGGCATGCAGACGCTCGGGAAATGCTTACAGAATGAACGAGTAGGTGCGCTAGCACTGCTGCCCACCGGAAAGCTGAAAAGCAGGAGAAAAAGACTGGCAGGACCCACAGCCCCTGCATCTGGCCCCAGCCCCCATCGCACCGCACCAGTTTCACCGGGTGTCTCCACTGCTGGGACTTCCTCCACACCAAGGAGTGCTTCTGCATTTGTTTATTCATTTAGTGGCACTGGGGACTGAACCTAGGCCCTTCATACTGAGCTACATCCCCAGCCCTTTCTCATTTTTTATTTTGAGCCAGGGTCTCACTAAGTTTGAATTTTTGATCCTTCTGCTTTATCTTCCCAGAGGGCTGGGATTACTGGCATGTGTTACCACATTCAGAGCCAGGGTTTTTTTTTTTTTTTTGAGGCAGGATCTCAGTATGTAGTTCAGCCTGGCCTTGAACTCACTTATATAGCCCTGGCAGGCCTCGAACTCATGGTAGATACTCCTGCCTCAGCCTCCGGAGCGCTGTGATTACAGGCATGCACCATCACACCCAGCTCACAGCCAGGGCTTTTGTGCCCATGTCAGAACAGAAGGTGGTCATGGGAGGAGAAACCCAAGACCCTGGTATAAAATCAGGACCCTTAAATTTCAGAGAAAGAATAATGTAGAAAGTGTTCATTGATTTAAAAAAAAAAAAAAAAAAAAAAAAGATGCCTGTTCAGCCTAGGATAAAAACAAAAACCTTCACTCTAAAATCTGTGACATCAGGTTATGGGCCTGGAGTTCAAATACATACCAGAAAGCACCAGGCCCATAAATTCCTATTAACAGTGTAGAGGGCCAGTGATATCTTAGGCATACACCCTAGCCCAAGATGAGTTTATAAAACCAAGATTCTAGGACACAGGAGGAAATACTACTCCTCCAGCAAGAATCAGCTGACACAAGAGTCCAGGACATGTATCGGTTGAGCCAATGAATGAGCAATGCTTTAGGAAATTTTTTCTTCTTCCAAAGAAAAAAGAGAGCTTTTACTGGTGACTTAGAGAAGGTCAGGTCAGTATGACCTCTCGCAAGAAGAAGGACGTGAAGGGACAGGAACCACCTGCAATGAGACGGTGGCTCAGCGGCACAGCTGAGGTCTGGCTGAGCCACCCACTTCCCGGTCCTAGCGCCCCAGGCGGGTTCTTCTACCAGTCAGAAAGTGAGCGGAGCTGCAGCTTGGCGGAGAAGGCTGGGAACCGCGGCTGTTCGCCCTGCGATTAAAGGCAGGGGCAGCTGGCCCGCGGGTTGTGGGTTATTGTTATCGGTTAAAGGCAGCGGCTCCATAACCTTGGGAGAGAGAACACGGCCTGGTGGAAATCTGTGCAGCTGGCTTTCCACCCCCGAGTCACCCTGCGCCTTCTGGCCGTAAGCGGGCACTGCACTTACAGTGCACAGCCCCAGCGCCACACCCCGGGGCCTCCAGGAGCGCGGTGACCTAACGCATCAGTCCAATCAGATGCACTAACGCTGAGGTCATGGCAACCCACCCAGACCTCACGGCCTGGTATCTCACGGTCCCCCTCCCTGTCCGAGGCGAGGAGACAGGAGGCCCTGCCACTAGGGTGTGGTGTGTGGTGGCCGGGAGCTCCTCGCACCTCCGCACCGCTGCTGTCTAGCTCACTCCCGCTTGCCCTTCACGGATCTGCCTCCATGATCTCTGGCCCCACGCACACAATACCCGGTCTTGCATCCACTCTGCCTCCATCTGAGAGATCAGGGGGGTGAGCAGTGTGCTGCTGCGAAGGGAAAATGGTGTTCCTGGGACTGGGAAGGGAGAGGTGTTTCTTCTCCCTGCTCCCGACTTGGCCAAGAGCAGCAGCTTCCAAGAAGTCTCCGGCCGAGAGGGCCTTAGCGTCTTACATAGGAGCCCTCTTGCAGGGGCCTCCTTCCTTTGGAGACAGAAGCCAGAACTCCAACACCAAGCCCAGAAAATTCCCCAAGGAAACGCTGCCCACTTGCAAGCGACCAACCCGCAGGGACTGGAGCGGGGAGGAGAGCAGGCGGGAAGAAGTGACTCACTGCTCTGAGAACAGCCTTTTCCAGCCCTCTGTCCAGGCAGCTGTCTA